CTTCGTGACGAAAGAGTGGCTTTTCAACTCTATGGCCATCAGCAATTCGATGAGCGCCTCGATGCCCGCGTCGTCCAGCACGCCCAGCTCGCGAGGCCGCAGAGCGTCGAACGAGGAGCCGCTCGAGCCCCTGAAGGAGGCGGTGACGGCCCTGATCTCGCTCACCGAAGGCCGAGCAGGGCACTCGCCAAGATCGGCTGGCCAGTCGAGCGGCGCGTCGGAGAGCTCGCTGCCCAGCGGCTGGGGGGGGGGGGGGGGCAAGTCCCCAGTGGCCCGACCACTCCTTCGCCAGGGCTCGGACCGTCTCAGAGAGCGTCTTAGGCACCCCACCAGGGGCCTCCGAGGGCCGCGCTTGCCAACCCTGAGGAGGTTTGGTCCCGGAGTGAAGGGCCCCCGTACCTTTCGGCAACCCAGTCTGCGGACCCCGCCTTGGCCTTCTCCGCGCCCCGCTGCACGAGCCTGTCGGCCATGGTGTGGGCGATGTAGCTCGCCGCCTGCAGCTGGGGCACGTCCATGAACTTAGCCGCCCGCGCAAAGCCCAACAAAGCGATGTGAGCCTGCGTAGTCTCTTGCCTGGAGTCGGCCCGAAAGTCGGGCTGAGCGCCGCGCATGCGATCGAGCGCCTTCGGCGCGCTTTGCCTCTTCAGCACGAGGTCGATCTGCGCAGCATCCTCGAGTGCGATGGCCACGCTCTTGTTCCAGGAGGTGGTGGCCGTTATCCTCGGGGGCCTGGGGGCCGAGGGCTTGAGCACCTTGGCCGCAGCCAGCCTCGGGCGCCACTCGCGCCCAGCATGCTCATGGTTCGCGTGTTTGAGACCGATGGCGTCCAGCAAGTGCCGCTCGGCGCAGTGGATGAAGGTCTGCCACGTACAATCCAACGAAGGCGCCTCCGCCATGCGGCCTCGCGCAGCTGCCCGCATGTGCGCGTGGTCCTCCGTGCAGCGCGCGCGGGAGTGGGTAAGGGAGCTTCTTGGCGCCCTACATCACCTCCATGTACCTGTTGACCGAGCTAGCGTTGAACCTGAGCTCGGCGGGGTAGTGCGGTGACAGATCCCACCCCTGCTTAACCTCCGGGTGCGCCTCGGAGATCACGTGTTAGACGACAAAGTAGTCGATGGCCTTGCCCGACGGTCGAATGGCACCTTCGCTGGGAGATACCACCTTGCCGCCGACTCGCTCGAGAAAGCCGGAGCACTGGAGCTCATGAGGCTCCATGTTGAAGCCCCCCGCCACGACGAAGGGCTTACCGATGCCGCGAATCGCCATCGCGATGCCGTCTAAGATGCCCAGGTTGTACACCGAGAGGCCCTCGCCAACCTTCTTTAGACGTTGAACCATGCAAGGCGCCCGGGGAACGGGCCTGTCGCGCGCGCGACCGCCGCGCGACCGGGCGTGAGCACCGTCTGCTGCCCAGCCCCAAACTCGCCAAGACCAGACGACCGAGGCGCCAACTGCAGAAGGCCTCCGTGGCCAGCGTGCCCAACTGCGACCTCAGTGGCTAGCGTGGCGATCGCATGCCAGCCCAGCCCAGCCAACTTATCTGAAACCTCCCTGCGCCGCTCCTCGGACAGGTGTGTCTCCTGAACGGCGATGAGGTCGCAGCTCCGAATCCCGTCATAGCCGAGGATGCCATCGAACCTGCTGTACGCATTCGCGTTGATGGAGAGGGCCGCCCACCGGCGCCCGCGAGCACGGCTACCCAGAAGTCCGTGGTTTCTTCGTTGCCCGCAGGATGTCGAGGGCATCGAGGATCCGCTTGCGCTGCTCGTCATCGTCGCCACAGCCGCCAAGAAGCCCACCATGATCCTCGTCGCCCAGGAAGGCATCGAGCCCCGCAGCGCCCTCAGCAGCTGCAGGGGCTGCTGTTGCTGGCGCTGCTGCTGCCGCCCCGCCGCCAGGCGGCCCCGCTGGCTGTCCAGCGGCGGGCTCAGCGGGCTCGGCGGCGCATGCTGCTGCGGCAGCCCCGACCTGCGGGCGAGCTGCCTTCGCTTCCTCGGCGAGCTCGTTGACCGTGGTCGAGAGTTGCTGGAGGAGGTCCTGGCCAGAGACACCGTCGGTGTTGAGCGAGCCGAGCTTCTGCTTGATCGCCTGGGGGCTGATGCCGCCACCGTAGCGCGCTGCCGCCTCGCGCTTGGCGTCCGCCAGCTCCTGCTGCAGCTGCGAGATGGCCTCCTGTGTCCCGTGCACCTGCACCAAAGCCTTGCGAGCCGCCTCCGAATCACGCTGAAGCCGATCTTGGGCGTCCGCGAGCTGGCAGGCGAGCCCGTCCACCTTCTGCGGCGCGGACTTGCCCACCAAGCCGAGAGCGTGAGCACGACGAGCTGCTTCAACTTTGTTGCGAGAAGACTGGCAGAGGGTGAGCTTCGTCGCATCCCGCGTGCCCTGCTCGAACGTGGCCCAGACCTTGACCTGCTCCGCGGTGGGCGAGGTGCCCGTGGCGGCGTGCTTCTTCCAACCAGCGCCCTTGCCGCTCTTGAAAACCTTGCCGTTCTGACCCCGCTGGTTGCTCGGCGGCGCCGACGCCCACTTGCCGCGGGCGGGGGGCTGACGAAGCTGCCAAGGTTGCCAAGGCTGCCCTGCTCCGCGCGGTCGCCGAGGCCGCGCGCCGCCGCGCCCAGGCTTCGTGCGCCTCGTGCGGTCGGCCGCCAGGTACTCTCCACGCGCGCGCTGCCACTGAGCCGCCATTGCCGAGACAAGCTCAGGGTTATACGTGCCAAAACTGGGGGAGCCCGCGCGCGCGCCCTAGAGGAGCTGGTGCTGGGAACAAAGAGATTTGGCCCAAAGCGCAATCCCTCGCGCTCAGGCCGCCTTCTCGGAGTCGCGGTCGTCGGGAGTCGCGTTGCCTTGAGCCAAAATGGCTACGGAGGGTTCGTGCTCCAGGTAAGGCCTAATCTATAGGTGCATACGTAAAACAAGTGGGATTGGAGCCACTCCTGCTGCCTTCTGATGCCTCCTGCTCCTGGGGCCTCTCGGGGCCTCTTGTTGCCTTCCGAAGTCTCCTGGCGCTTCCTGTGGCCTCCTGGGGCCTCCTGTGGCTTCCTCAGGTCTCCTGGAGCTTCCTGGGGCCTCCTGGGGCGTCTTGGGACATCTTGTGGCCTCTTGAGTCTTTCTGTGGCCTCCTGACGCCGCCTGGGACCTCATGTGGTCCCCAGTGGCCTCCTGGAGCCTGTTGGAGCATCCTGTGGCACCCTGAGGGGAATCTGCGCCCACGAGTCTGGCCACCCAAACAGGCAAACCGAACGAGACATCCTGACAATCTGGCCCACCTGGGGGGTGAACATGAGCGCATCGCTCGAGACATCCTCCAAATCTGCTCCGAACGCGAACGATATCGGGACAGAAAACAAGCAAACCGCTTGAGACATCCCAGCAAAACGGCCGCGAACGGGACCGTGTCATACCCCCCGGCGGCTCCCCTTAGGGGCGTGAGAATGAGCGCCTCGCTCGAGACATCCTCCAAATCTGCTCCGAACGCGAAGGATGTTGGGCCAGAAAAGAAGCCAACCACTTGAGACATCCCCACAAAACGGCCGCGCACGGGACCGTGTCATACCCTTCGGCGGCTCCGCTTAGGGGCGTGAAAATGAGCGCCTCGCTCGAGACATCCACCAAATCTGCCCCGGATGCTTGGCCAGACAACAAGCAAACCGCTTGAGACATCCCCGCAAAACGGCCGCGAACGCGACCGTGTCGCACCCCTTCCTTAGGGGGGGTGAAAATGAGCGCCTCGCTCGAGATATCCTCCAAATCTGCCCCGAAGCGAAGGATGTTGGGCCAGAAAACAGGCAAACCGCTTGAGACATCCCCCACAAAACGGCCGCGAACGGGACCGTGTCATACCCGTCGGCGGCTCCCCTTAGGGGTGTTGAAACCAGCGCCCAGCCTGAGGCATCCCCACAATCTGCCGTGTGTAGAGTAAGTCAAACAATGAGAAGGCCTGAGTATGAGTAAGTCTGGGTATGAGTGAATCTCAGCATGCGTAAGCCTGAGTATGAGTAGGTCTGAGTATGAGAAGGTCTGAGTATGAGTAATATTGTGTGTGCGAGTAAATCTGGGTTTGAGTAAGTCTGAGTGTGAGTCTGTCTGTGCATGAGTAAGCCTGGGTATGAGGAGGAGAGGGGAGGAGAAGGATAAGGAGAAGGAGGAGTAGGAGGCGTCATAATAATAATTACTCGACGCGGGGCTCCCCATATGTGCATCTCATTATTTTGGTACGTCTTTCTCTTGATACCTGTCAATGAGCGCCTGTGTGCGAGGGCGAACCGCTCGCTCGAGACATTCCCACAGTCTGCAAGCATGAGTGCGACCAATAGCAAATCTGAAAGCGACTGATTCTGAATGTGTGTTAATCTGGGTGCGATTGAGCCTTTGTTTGAGTGGGTATGCGTGTGAGTAAATATGAGCGCGAGTGCGTCTGTGTGCGAGTGGGTCTGAGTATGGGCGAATCTGAGTGTGAGCCAGTCTGTGATTGAGCGGATCGTAGCATGATGAGTCTGAGCACGAGTGAGTCTGGGCTTGAGTGGGTCTGAGTGTGAGAAAAAGTGTGTGTTAATGAATCTGTGTGCGAGTGAGCCCAGTGTGATTGGGTATGGATGTGAGCCAGTATGAGTGTGAGTCGGTCTGCGTTTGAGCGGACCGAAGGATGATGAGTCTGGGCAGGAGCGAGTCTGAGTATGAGTGGTTCTGAGCGTGAGTCTGAGTGTGAGTAAGTTTAAGTATGGATATGAGCGAGTCTAAGTGCGAGTGAGCCTGCGTGTGACTGAGTCTGAGTATGAGTGAGTATGAGTGAGAGAGCGTAGAGCGAGGGAGAGCGGAGGGCGAGGGAGAGAGAGGCGGAAGCGTTTGAGTAAAACCTAAAGCTTTGGAACATCGAACCTCGATCGTCTGGCCCTGGCTACTCGAGTTGCCCACGTCCTCCTCATCCTCATCATCATCATCATCATCATACAGCGACTTGTCGGCATGTGTGGTAACTCCGCGGCCGTATTCCCTGGCTCAAGTTCTAAAGGAATGCAAGCATTCTGTGAGCGGGCCTGCGCCGACCTCACCAGTGCCCTCACCGCTGCCATCATAGTTCGCGGCAGCTCGACGCCCTGCCCAGATTGCGTCTGCTCTCCAGCGCTGCACTGCCCTGCGTTGGAGTGCCGCTGCCCGACAGGCGAGGGCTCGCTGGCATCCGTGCAGCCCACAGGCTGGTCAACTGAGTTCGTGGTCGTGCTCGTGGTGAGCTCCTTCGCATACGGCATCGTCGTAGGCGGCTTCTTCATCAAGAGCTCTCGGACGGCCCCCGTGGTTCAGCCCGCGCCCGCTCCAGCACCTCTGCCCGAGACGGTGGACACTCTCGACCTTGCGACGGCGGCTGCTGCCCAGGCGAGGAAGTTCCGCCGCTAGGAGCAATGGCTGCTCGCACCTCTGGCCAGTTCCACTACGTACGGTACAACGTCGGGGGGCCCGCCATCTACCACGAGAGGCTCACGTTGCTGCCAGGGTACATCCTCACCCCCGACGATGACGACTACGCGGAGAGCGACCTGGCTGGCGGCGACTTGAGATCAGTGCATGACTCGGCGGGCCAGGGCGACGCAATCGTCGGAGTCGCCGCCCATAGGCTCTACAAGTTCAGACGGCTGCCGTCCGCAGCCGTCGTCTGGGGTGCTGTGCGCCGCGGCGTCGCTCAAGGCCACGGACCTCTGCCGCCGTCGCCCTTCAACCTCGAGCTCAGCGCCGACAGCGTGCTGGGCGTGGCGGCGGGGGCGCTGGCCTTGCCCGACCCGCTCGGAGCGGCGCCCGCTGCCGCAGCGCCTGGGGCCCTGGCCTTGGCGGGCGCGGCCGCGCCCCCCGCGGGCGCCCCTGGGCCGCCCGCCGCCGTGGCCGCGGAGCCCGAGGGCGGGGTGGGCGCGCTGGCGGCGGCGCTCGGCGCGGGGGGGGCCGCCCTGCCTGCTGCCGCGGACCCTTTGGGCGTCGGCGGCGCCGCCGCGGCCCCCGCCGTCCCAGGCGTCGCGGGGCCTGATCCCCGCGCGATGGCCACCGTGCTCGACGCTCGCGGGCTGCGGGACATGCCCTTCAGTGACGCCGTGAAGCGCCAGACCGAGACCGCCCGCCCCGACTGGCCCGTGAGGGGCCCTAGGACCGCGATGTGGGTGCTCCACTTCATGCTGCGCATGGCTGGCGGGGCGATGGCGTGGCACAACCGCTGGATGGCCATGGTGCAGGCCCTGGAGACGGACGACACCGCCAAGCTCCACGAGACGCTGTGCCGCGTCATCGAGACCTCGCTCTGCCACGACCAGCTGATCATCTGCGAGCTGGCCTCCTACGAGTTCCTTTCGCGGCAGCTGCAGTTGGTGGAGGGGCGCTTCTTCGAGGAGCGCGCGCGCAGGACTCAGCCTGCGCCCAAGGCCAAGGGCCAGGCCAAGGACGGCGTCGCGTCCGCGGCCGCCGAGGCCTCTTCGGAGATTGGCCACTTCCTCGGCACGGGAGAGACGATGGGCAACTTGTGCATTTGCCCAGCCTTGATGGACTGGATCGCCGACCAGACGAAGAGTGAGGCCGCCGTTGCGAAATAACTTCGCAAGGCTCGCGAGGAGCGGGCCTTGCGGCATCCATGACGTTCCTGAAGGACGCTGGCCAGGAGGGGCCTTACGACGTGTTACCGGTTCGTGAGCCTGGCCAGCTTTGCCCCGAGCCCTTCGTGGCTCCACCTGGCCTGGAGTCGCCCAGACGAGGTGACCGTCGCCAGCGTGACGTTTTTCCGCTCCCTCTTCTTCCAGTGGATGGGCGTCGCTTTCTTCCGCTTGGTCGGGGTGCTCGTCTACGGGCCGCCAAAGGCGCGAGCTGGAGAGAGTGGTGCAACGAGGGGTTGACTGCTCTCAACTGGCTCCATTGCGGCAAGGACGAGCCCTCCATGCCTGACGACGGGGGGGCACCGCCTGCGGCCCAGGCAGCCTCAGTGGACTACATCGCGGGCTTGTGCCGCGACTTCGAGCTGCCCGCCGCCTACTCGGAGAGAGGCCGCGATTGCGAAGCATCCCTCGTAGAGATGCTCGCACAGGCACCTGGCTACGCTGGCGACAGCGGTCGTGTGCGCCCCTTCAGCATGCCACTTGTGGCCTGGCCCGAGTCGACGAAGGCAGTCTCCACCTGCGGCGTCGTCTCCGAGGCCGACTCCATCGTGCTGCAGGATTGGAGGCAGAGTATGCTGAATCCCGAGTCGGTGGCGGCGGAGCTCCGTCAATCGTTGGGGGTTAGTCGCCCCCATGTGGATCCCGAGCTGCGCTTTAAGCCGAAGTCCTACGCTGAGTTTTGGAAGCAGCTGGAGGCCCACGACATGATCACCTGGCGGGTCTCCAGCGAGCAGGCACCCTTCTCTACTGGTCTTTTCTTTGTGCTGAAGACTAACGGCAAGCTCAGGCTGGTGTTCGACACCAGGCTGGCCAACTGCAGCTTTTCGTGCCCGCCAGCCACTCGCCTGCCCACGCCCAGCGCGTGGGCCAGCCTTGACTGCGACGACAGTTTTCAGTTCGCGCAGGGCGACATCCAGTGTGCATTCTATCATTTGCGACTGCCCGCTGGCATGGAGTCTCTCTTCTCTTTGCCACCGATAACCAACATATTCCTCGGCCTCAAGTCGGTCAACGGGGTTCGTCTCGGCATCAACGATTATCTCCAGCCTCTTGTCACGGTCGTCCCCATGGGGTGGAGTTGGGCTCTACACCTGTGCCAGAGTGCGCTGACGAGAGCCCTGTCGGATGTCGGGTTTGGCAGTGACGATATGATTCTGGATGGGGGATGTCCTCGTCCCTTGGTGGCGGAGAAGGACGCGGTGTGTGCTGGTTATGTTGACAACTTCTGTGTCGTATCCAAGTGCGCGGAGACAGCCGCGTCCCTTGCTCGTGCCGTTGCTGACCTTCTCACTGCCCGCGGGTTGCCTGTCTTGGAGTTCTCCCCTGCGGTCTGTAAGGGGGTCTTCACGGGCTTGGAGGTCGACGGAACCTCTGGGATCATTCGCGTTCGTCCTGACCGCCTCGCTCGCACTCGTCAAGCCGTTCTCGGACTGTTGAAGTGTGGGCGGGCCTCTGCTGGGGCCCTGAGCGTGCTCTTAGGCCACTGTGCCTGGGGGATGATCCTGAGGCGCGACGTGCTGAGCATCTTTAACGCGGTCTATTGGTTCATGGGGGCTGTGGGGCCCCATCCTGGACCCTTGTGGCCCTCGGTCGTCAGGGAGTTGTCGGCTGCCGTGGCCCTCATCCCGCTCTGGAGTGCCTCTACAAGGTCTCGCTGGTATCCACGGGTGTACGCGTCTGATGCGTCGCCGTTCGGCAAGGGTGTCTGTGTCAAGGAGGTCTCCCCTACGCTGTCGTCCGAGGTCGGCCGAGTCGCCGAGCGTTGGAGGTATCGTCATGGGGATGCTGTGCTTGGCAGATCACGCGCCCTAGACGTCGACGGTCGAGACGATGCTGCCGACGGTTGCCGTGCCGACACATCGTCTACTGCTCCTACTGCTTCGTCGGTTGGGCTCTGTGGGCTCTACGAGGTTCCTGAGTCCATCTACGGGGCCGAGGGTTGGAAGACCATTCACTCTAGCCGTCACACCCGACGGGGCTGCGATATCCTTCAGTACGAGGCGGAGGCCCTGGGGTTCAGCGTCCATCACGCTTCGAGGGCCCTGAGTGCTCATCATCATCGGGTCGTCTGTATTGTGGACAATTTGGCTCTAGCCCTTTCGGTCGGCAAGGGGCGGTCTGGGAGCCGTCATCTTCTCCGCGCCTTTCGGCGCATCGCTGGCGTGGCCCTCGCCTGTGGCCTGCGCCTGCTCGTGCGGTGGGTGCCGTCAGAGAGGAACGTCGCGGACAAGCCGTCGAGGGAGGGCTTCTTCGTCGGCCCTAGCTTCGAGGACGTCGGGTCGTACCTCGTCTCGCGCCGCCTGCGGATCCCCCACGGAGCTGATCAAGGCGGCGCGGGGCCAGCGGGTGCAGCCTGGTCCGCTGACTCTCCTGCGGGGCGGGCGGTCGGTGCTGGAGGCCTGCGCGGTCTCGGAGCCGACGGGCAGGTACTACCACGCCTCCGCCCTCAGGCTTCTGAACTGGTGCCTCTGGACCGCCAGTGACTTCGCGAACAGCGTCGAGCTCGTCGCGATCCCCGTGGTGTCCTTCGCCCACCTGTTCCTCGGCGGGTACGACAGTGCGACGGGCCGCGTCACGATGGCCGCTCTGAAGCACCAGTTGCCGTCGATGCTGATGGGGGGCCGGCCGCTGCCACGGGCCTTGCGGGCCCGCCAGGGCTGGGCGAAGCGTGTGCCGCCGCAGACGCTCCTCCCGCTGCCGAGGGTCGCGAGGTTCGTCGTCGTGGGCGCGCGGGTGTCTCGGGGCCTTCTGTCGCAGGCGGCCCTCGCGAGGATTGCATTCGACACGCACCTGCGCCCCAGCGAGGCCTACCGACTCACGGCGGCCACCCTGGTCGCTCCGAGGTCGGGCCCCGCGGACGGCTACCAGCACTGGGCGTTGCTGGTGATCGACGCGGCGAGCGGGAGGCGTGGCAAGACGGGGGAGACCGTCGAGCGCGTCATCGTCGACGATCCGCCTCTCTGGCCTCTCCTCGAGGCGTTGCGGCAAGGGCGCAAGGAGGAGAGCCTCTGCGCCTTCGCGCCACACCACCTGCGGCTCGCCTTCGCGGAGGCCCTGGTCCTCCTCGGCATGGACGTGATGGCGAGGACGGGCTTCCTCTCGCTGCCGCTGCCGCCCCTGAGGCCGCTGTCGGCGTCACCGCCGGTGCAGACGGCTCCCGTGAGGACCGTCATGTGGCTCTTCGAGTGA